TTCTTGGAACTGTTGTAAACATGAGTAGTTGTAATGTTCGGAGTTAGAAATTAACTTGACTTGTTAACTGTTTATTGTCCAATCACGAAAGACGAGCAAAAAAAAAACACTAGATTTTTACAGGTATCTTACATTTGAAAATGGACTATTTATACTAAAGTGTGAGGGAACGTACTCTGTCCGAGCAAGAGATTATGACATGGGATAAAACCTGGTCGAATTTTCCTGAATCTTTTATAATGATTCAGTTTAAATAATAGGACAATTGCATGATGACGATATTTGACTACAAGTACCAGAATTCATTTCGGTTTTGCTTTGTTATTTAAATTTGTCAATCCCGCTGAAGATTAAAGAACAATAGCCTTAATTTGCACAAGAAAACAACAAACTCAAGGATTCTGGTAGTTGTAGTAAAATGACGTCATCGTGCAATTCTCCTATTGTGTGCTTATGTCGTGGAGTCACTGAAATAGTCCGAATAGTTTTACTGCATCCCTGTATTGTTGAAAAATAGACTATATAGTCATAGAAAGTATATACATGAATCTGGAAGTTATTTATTGTTTCACTCGTTTGAAAACGTTTTTAGCAGAATTCTTCTGTATATTGTGAAAATCGTTTTCAAAGCCGAAAAGAAAAGAGTATTGTTTGTTAAGGAAGGTGCACACACTAACTACCAAAACATCTGAAGAAAAACATACTGAAAACTTGTCTGGTAGTCACCTTCAGTTTCATTACAACTTCAGAAAAAATAAATACCACTTTTGAAGTGACGTCTTATTCTTCCATTGATGTTTACGTAGCGCTACCACTGTAGATGTAAAGCAACGGTACAACGAACAAATATTATGCAACTTGTTTACCAGCAGTGCTACAATACAAGTTGCACGTTTTAACGTATTTTTGTTTTGAATTTCAAAGATTATTGACATTGCGAATTAATGGACGAATTTTCTTCGCCAACGCGTTCTTAAAAAATGATTATTAGTTACTTAAATAAACTGAAACGTTACCTTGGGGTACTTGGTTATCGTGTTCATGTCGTAGCTACCAAAAAGCTATGTCGTAAATTTTCATACGCAGACGAGTTCTAGTCCAACAGAGAAGCGAACGATGGTTTTCACACGGATTTCACACGTGGAAAACTGATACGTCCAATAAAAATCGCGAACGATGTTTTTTCACGTGTCAGAAAAATGATACGTCCAATCAGAAGCCACAGAGGTGCGTGAGTTTCGCGCCAAAATTCCCGCCTTTAATAGGCGATTGCAACTTGCAGCACCGCTTCGCGAGTGTAACTAAATGTCGTGGGTCGTGGGTAGTGGGTTGAGGTCGTGGGTCGTGGGTGTGGGTCGTGGGTGTGAGTGTGAGTAAATGTCGTGGGTAAAATAAGGTTTTCCAAAAAAAAAAAATTAAAAATTAAAAGGCAAAAAGTTGTAAAAATCTCCGCGTACATGTCAGTCCTACTCCCCTTCCCCGCGGTTAGCAAAGCAAATAAGAGAGTCCTTTGGTACAAACGGACACTACAATAAAAGAAACTCTGTACACTATGTAAACTTGAAGCAGGCAATAGAAAACTGGAGACTGAACTGCTTTTTCTCAAAAAAGTCAACTTTCGTGACTGAAACGTCCTTTCAGTTAAAGGAATGATATTTAGAATCGTTACAGTAAAGATTTTGTACGCAAAACAAAAAAAAAATCGAGAAAATTATATTTACGTACGGCAGTAAAATTTACATATAGTCTCGCCGTAACTTGAAAGGTTGAGCATGAAGGTGGTTCCTTCGTAAGTTATTAGCTAGCCTAAAACTTCTTTAAAGGCTGGTTCTCACTTGCGACGGAGTCGGAGTCGGAGTCGTAGTCAGAAGCTAAGCGTAGAGCTTATGATCTAAGGCCTGTTTCAAACGTCGTGCTACTGCCGTGCTCAGCTGGCTCGACTGTAGCTCTACTGCAGCACGACACTAGCACGACTTGGATTCAGACGTCGAATTAGACTGGCTGTTGCCGAAAACACAACACAAAAATAAAGAAACGGTTTAGCAAACTTTTAAATGTATTCTAATGTATTTATAATTTATGAATTGAGTTGTAGCACGGCAAGGCTTGCCGTGCTACTCGACAGTAGCACGACTTGGTTTCAAACGTCGCGCGATCAGTTGAGTCCAGCACGGCAGTAGCACGACGTTTGAAACGGGCCTTAGACTTCTATGCAAAAATATGAAATACTGCAAAATTCCCCTGCCCTTTCCCACGGTGATCGCATTCCATCGTGTTAAGAAATCTCCGCTGATCATTGGAATTGTAGATCGAATAAAGATTAATAGTCAGAGCTGTTGATCCCATACTTTCTGCAAATTGAACGTATGACTTACGTCTGTTTCGTTTATAAATCTTCATCGGCAACATGTAATGTCTTTTATACAGTGATGGTGTGAAAGGGGATCCAAGTCCCACGTGGCTAAGGAAATATCGGGAAGAGGACGAAGAAAAAGCGGTGACGAAAAGGGCAATCAAGGATTTGGAGATTTTCGTTTCATAAATATTTTACAAATTTTTTCTTATATTATTATTATTATTTTTTTATCATTTTTTTCTATACTTTTTTTACCCACGACATTTACCCACACCGACACCCACGACTCACACCCACGACCTCTACCCACTACCCACGACCCACGACCTCTACCCACTACCCACGACCCACGACATTTAGCTACACTTCCGCTTCGCAGACATTCAACGAGAAAAGTTTTTCTCAAAGAGTTTTTCTCGTACAAAAAGTGAAAAACATCTCGGAAATTGGAGTGGAATAGTTTCGTTTGTTTGTCGATGAAGAAAACTGTAGAGAGCCAGCAAAACAATAGCGGAAGTGGAAAAACAGAACGAGACGTAAGGTGAAGTTGAATGTGCTTTTTATCGGAGCTACTTTGTCGCTTATATTCAAACCGGCCATTTTACTCAAGCTTTAATAAATTCATTTAATTTTCAATTTTTCATTCAGAACAAACAGTCAAGATTATTTGTAGTTCTTGGATTACCTCATGTCCTTATTTACTCTCTTTATATTTTTAACAAACGCTTTTGCTAATAAGCTGATACTTCGATTTCGTTGTTATTTCGCGATGTATAGCGGCAAATTTTAACATTTGGAAAGATTTGAAATAAAAAGGCCACCAAAATGATGACTGTCTCAGTATGTATATAATAGACACAATACCACGTGGAAAGTGCTTCGCAAGGTAGTTATGCACTCGTTGCTTTTGTATCAAAAATCTCACTCGTTCGATGTCTGACATGTCAACAACTCTTACGTAAATACCGTACGCCCGCACTTTCCACGAATTATCCTCTATTTACTTCAGTTATTACAGAAACGATGACACATTTCTCCGCAAGAAGAGAATATTGAAAGTTTATTTTAATAACAATTCGATAGATTAACTGTGATAAAATGATTTTAGTAAACCAGTTTCCCAGTATCTAACAATTAGTGCCAAATAGTTACAAGTAAATAAAAGAAAACAATGAAATTAAAGAGAAATAGTTGGTATTCACGGGTTAAGTAAAATCACTCCATGGTAGCGTGTCTTGTAATCTCGATTACCAGCCGCCGTTCGGGAAACGAGCTCGCGCTCCTCTCCCGAAAAACTCCTCGGAGCAAACACGAGAGAGAGGCGGAAAGTCTTGAAAAAGTGACGTTTTTTATAGGGAGCGCAAAAATTCCAAATACTCCGTGACACAGTTACTTTTGGCACCTTACAACTTCTCGCTGGGTTAATTTGCTCGGACAGTTACGAGAAAAGCTGTTAACAGTGGGCATTAAAACGTTACTGTCATCAGTTTCCTTGGGGCGTTAACAAACTGTCAAAAAAAAAAAATCTTAACTGGCACATCAAGGGTTATTCAGAAGTGGTCCGGTTAAAACCTCGCTTGTGTATAAAAATTCAACACTTGAATTTGACTTTGTTGGACAAGGAACTCCTATTTAAGGTGTAGCCAAATCAGCCGAAGAGACTAAAACATTTATTCGCCTCTATCGAGCTCTTACAACAGCCCTTGTTTTCTAAAGTCTCGTAAATGTTAGATCAAGTGGGGCGAGTTTTCCGGTCAGAATTCCAGGCTTCATATTATAAAAAGTTACGTACTGCTATGCTTACTTTTTTTTTCCTTCCTTCTTTTCTCTCTCTCGATCTTTTGTTAGAAACACCTTGAACGGAAACGTCACACCTTCTGTTCGAATCAATTTTTAAATTAAAACGATAACTAGCTGTGCTTATCTACAGCTTGGAAAAAGCCAGCCTAGTATATTTCTTAACATATGCAGTCTAAAGGTTCTAACACAACCTTGAGCAGGGGTTATTTTGAGATCCGAAAAGTTTTTTTTTTTTTTTTTTTTTTTTTTAT